CTCTGGCTCATTGTCAGCCTCTCGCATCGAATCATTCCGAGCTCCTCTCCCTCGTGGGACAAAACGCATGTGTCTTCACATGAGACCCAAGGTGAGGCCTTTGTCGCACAAAGGAGTCTTGTCTGCCCCTCTCTACATGGCCCTGTGGCGTTAGACAAGGTGCTCAGACCAGCCAGGGGTGGAATGTTCTCCTGTCCCGGGTCCTGAGCCCCCAGGCCCGATTCTCCGCCGGTGCCTCTCTCCCTCTCACCTCTGCTCACTCGTGCTCCTCTGCTCTCTCCCGGAGGCTGGTGCCCCTCAGGGCTTAACTGTGCGCCCTCTTCTCTTCCCTCACAACCCCCATCATCCCAGTGCATCTCGGCCACGCTCTTCAAATGCCATCTGAAGGCCAAAGACTCCCAATGTAGGCCTCCAGCTCAGATCTCTGAGCACGCGATGCGTTTATCCAGCCTGGGCTGAGATCTCGAGACGGAGGCTTAACCGACCGAGCCACCCAGGGGCCCCAAGCCTGTGCGTTTCTGAATCAGGGCCGAGCACAGTGTCTCCCTCATAGTAGGTGCTCAATATGTATTTGCTGAGTAGCTGAATGACGGTGACCCAGCTTTGTTTTTCTAGTGTCACCTCCTGTCACACCCGCCCACCTCATCGTCCCTCAGGCTGCTCACCAGGACCTGGAAAGCGGGGCTGGGGTGGTCCCAGCCCGGGCACCACCGCAGCCCTGCCTTGGCTCCCCTCACCTCCACCTGGGGTCACCCCCTCCCGCCCCCCTGCTCCTCGTGAAGTCCAGTGCGTGGCAGGCGCCCGGTTCTCATCTGCATGGCACTGGGTCCCTCTCCAGGGAAGGGACAAGCCCTCTGAGGCGTGGGGGACCCTCCAGGGCTGGGGACTGTCGCCAGAGCCCAGCAGCGTGGGAGAGCGCAGGCGGCCACGGAGTGATCTCGTGGGACATCTGGGAGCCGGGGCTCCGTCTTGGCCCTGGTCCTAAGCAGGTGCCCCGGTCTTCAGGCCTCAGCTCCCTGTGAAACCAAGCTGCTGGGGGGGCTGAGGTGTCGGCTGCCTAGAAGTCTCTAGAAGCTCAACTCCTTACGAGGAGGCACCGAGTTCTGTTAACTGCAACCCAACTGAGCCGTGAGGGCGGTGAGGCTAGATTCATACCCAGGACTTGGAAAGAAAAGAGCCCAGTTAATCCTGAGACTGAGGGCTTTTCCTTTCTATTTGTGTAGTGGGTGGAGACGTGTCCTGCATTCCTCGCTGTGAGGCCTCTCCGCCGTGACCGTTTCTTCTTTTAATGAATTTTCCTTATTGATGTTATTTTTGAGAGAGAGCACAAGTGGGTCAGGAGCAGAGAGAGAGAGGGACAGAAGACCCAATGCGGGCTCTGCGCTGACAGCACAGAGCCCCACGTGGGGCTTGAACTCACGAACTGCGAGATCATGATCCAAGCTGAAGCCGGACGCTCAACCGACTGAGCCAGGCAGTTGCCGACTTCGCGGCCCTAGAGGCTGGGTCAGTCAGCTTCGTGGCCTCAGCCCCGCGGCAGGCCGAGGTGCACTCAGCGCCAGCCCTGGCTTGTGGCGGGGAAGCACCGTGCTCAGTGAGTGCTGGTAGCAGGCAGAGCCTCTGGACAAAGCGCAGAGGCAGGCATGACAGCGGCGGAAGATGGCTACTCCCGCACTGAAACGATTAAGGCCTGGGGTTGGTGTCGGGTGGGTTTGGGCTTCCACCTTTGCTCTCCCTACGGGAGGCTCATCGGCTTACTTAAGCCTCAGATTCCTTACCTGTTAAATGGAGGTAATAATCGAGTCCACATCGCAGAGTTCTTGTGAGGATAACTAAGATAACACAGATAAACGCCTTATCCTAATGCCTGGCAAGCAGTAAGTGCTCATTAAATACCAGCCATTAGCCTTATCCTTTATTCTGGGTTTTTTTTTGCTCATCAGACGCTGCAGGTCGGGAGGCTCCCTTCCTTACCCAGCCAGAATCGAGGCCTCACATTCGTTTTTTAGCCTTAGTTTTCTTAAGGGTTGGATCAAAACCTCAGCTGGGGCTTCGGAGGACAGGAGCGTCAGACGGCTGGGCTCCACCCCGCACACCCAGCTCTGAAAAAGGGCTTGTAAGCCTGCGGCTGGAGCTCCGCACACCCGCTCACGCCAAGGCCAGGTGGGATCGGTTAACAGGGACTAGGCTTCCTCTACTTCCCTGAATGCCACCGCCTGAAACCGGCCGGCTGCTCATTGCACCAGAGCAAGCGTGTGTGGGCGGCCACAGTGGGGCCCCAGGGGTGGGCCACGCCTCCTCCCCATCTGCGCCCCCGCTACACACCCCTGCCACCTGCTTCACTGCGTTCACCCCCAGGCCGCCCTGAGCACGGCGCGGCAGGCGGGGGTGGGAGTCACTTCGTGGTGCTGACTCCCCAAAGATCAGAGGAAGCTACTGGCTGCAGGTTGGAAGGCCCAGGCACACGTGTTCACGCTTGAAGAGCAGGAATCGTTTGTTTTTGCTTACATAGACACATAGAGATATTTTTCTTTACGGTATTTGATGTCCTCTCCCCGCTCACTCTTATTTTAATTCCAGTGGGCAAGGACTGGATCGTTTTCCTTTTCTCTCTTATCAAAATTGTTTGGTGAGAGTTTCAGGGATGCTCAACTAATAGGCTGCCTGGCAATGATAAGTCAAATGAGTCATTTTGGGGATGGATAAGTGCTACTATACATTTTAACACAAATTTTTCTTTTCTTTTTTTTTTTAATTTTTTTAATGTTTTATTTATTTCTAAGAGAGGGAGAGAGAGACAGTGTGAGCAGGGGAGGGTCGGAGAGAGAGGGAGATACAGAATCTGAAGCACGCTCCAGGCTCTGAGCTAGCTGTCAGCACAGAGCCGGACGCGGGGCTCGAACCCACTACCCGTGAGATCATGACCTGAGCCGAAGTCGGACGCTTAACCGACTGAGCCACCCAGGCGCCCCGCAAAGTTTTCTTTTAAACCATGGGTGTCTTAAATGTCTGCAGGACCGAGAGTCTCAGAGTCGGTGGTGTTTGGGAGATCAGAACATAAAGGCATAAGGGGAGAGGGGCCACCTTGAGCAGAAAAGCAAAGATCAAGAGGTAGGTGGAGAAGGGAGGGGGTGGGCAAAGGCCAGAGCCATCCACCCGCCTCGCCACCTTGTCTGCAGCCTGCAGTCCCAGGCTTAGCTCCTGGCTGCAAGGCCAGTGGTCCTGGTGCTCAAATGGTAAGCTCCAGAATGTTTGAGGATTCCCACAGAATCCTGCAAACCCAGCTCCCTGGAGCGACTCTGGTTTGTCCGGTCTGCGCAGGGGGCAGTGGGGAGCTGCAGCGCTCTCGTGCTGGGAAGGAAAGGTCACGGCCTCCCAGGGCAAGGCGGCCTCTTTATTCCATTCCATCACATGTGCACGCACGCACAGGCACACATGCACACACGCGTGCACACTCGCACACATTGTGATATTCAGAATCACCTCCTCGTGACGCTGAACGATTGCTCTCCAGAGCTCTCTGCGTCCTTGCCGCCTCCCGGAAGGAAAGGCCTAGCTCCCCATCAGCCCAGCTCCTGGTGCTGAGGCCTTGGGACAAATCGCTCGCCCTTTCTGGACTCTTACATCTTTGTGCAAACCTAAACCGCCTTTTATTTTAGTATATTGAGGACAGCAGTGTATCTAAGGGATTCTGAAAATCTGTAAAAGTGAAGATCTTTTTTTTTGTTTTTAACATAAAATGATGACAAAGACTCAAGGAAGCACCATTCCCCTAATGACTCTGTGGCTTCCTTTGGGCACATCACGATCGGGGTTCTGGGTCTCTCCCATCTCCCGTTGAGCAACGACATAAAGCCTCTTCTCTGACCCTGGACTAGAGTCAACCACCAGGTCGTGAAGGCCAGCGGTTGTGTTTCAGCAGGTTAGGATCCTCCGGGGCAATGGCTTCATTTGAAGAGCCTTTCTGTTGTGTCCCACGCAAGCCCGTCGGATCCTACCTTCCCGCTGTGGGTGCAGGAGCCCCGGGGCCCCTTGCAGAAAGGGGCTGGGTTTGTGGGGCCCCGGAGCAGCCCTGGGAATCCGGAGCATGTGACCTCTTGTTCCACCCCGGGAGGCCCTGGATTCTCTGAGGGGGTCACGCTCTGCAGAACTATGCTCTCAAGGTGTGGCCTAAATCGAAAAGACAAACAAAATGAAGCCTCCAAGGTCAGCTCCCATTATGGCTGTTGTTTTCACACCAGAGCTTTTGTGCCGGATCGTTGGGAGTCTTCCTGCCTGGTGGTGCTTTGACTCTGTGGCTTAAAGGACGGCAAAGACAGCCCAGCTTTGGACACACACATACAAACACACACACACATCCCCGATACTGAGAAATCCTGCTCTATCCCAAGTCCTTGACATAGATGGAGGAAATCTTAAGAGCTTCCCAGGATCCTCCCCTCCCCACTTAGCACCTCTGGGCATCAGTCTTGGGTCTTTTTCATTTTAATTAACCCAGTGAACCGGCCTCTACCTTTCAAAGGAATCCGAGGAAACTTCCCTGCCAAGTCCCCACTGAGTGCCTGTGACACTCAAGGAGGGCCAGGCTCTCATGTAGGTTAAGGAAGTCCAAGGAGAATAAAGATTATAGGGAAACAGTCTACCTTTCTTTACAAGGTCTTGTTTTGCATCCCTGAAATCTCAGATTCGGCTATTACAATGAAGTCCTGTTGCGGAAAGAGCTGGCCTTTTATCACCACTTAAGATCTAATTAATCCATATTGAAGCACAAAGATTTCTGTTGTGTTTTAGGGTGAGGGGTCATAGAGCCTTCTTTGTTCATCCTTAGACTTATAACCATCAAGCATTGGGGATATAATTTTACCAAGCAAATTGGAAGGTAACAGATCAAATCCTTATCAGAAAGCCCAACTCATAGTTTTAACAGGGTCCTTCGTCCTTTACATGAAACATTATATTCGAGAAGAACAAAAACGCATTTCAGAGTTTCCAAAGAGTTAATGGCCAAAGCTTATATTCTGGGCAGCCTAGGACCAAGACCCGTCACACTACTGTCAGCCACGAAAGCCAGTGGCTCCCATAGGGGTGGCCGCAGTTGTAACATTTGTTGCAATGGCGTTAGTGCTTCGAGTGGTGATGCAGTTTGTTGGACTTTTATTATCTTTGCTGGGATGGGTTCTGTCCGTTATTACAACTTATCTGCCACATTGGAAGCACCTCAACCTGGACTTGAACGAAATGGAGAACTGGACCATGGGACTCTGGCAAGCCTGCGTCGTCCAAGAGGAAGTGGGGACGCAGTGCAAGGACTTTGAGTCCTTCCTGGCTCTGCCGGCCGAACTCAGGATCTCCAGGATTTTAATGTTCCTGTCCAACGGCCTGGGGCTCCTGGGCCTGCTGGTCTCCGGCTTTGGCCTGGACTGCCTGAGGATCGGAGAGACGCGGCCAGGCCTCAAGAAGGGACTGCGGGTCCTGGGAGGGGCTCTGCTCTGGGCGGCAGGCGTCGCGGCCCTGGCCCCGGTGTCTTGGGTGGCCCACATGACCGTCCAGGAGTTCTGGGACGACACCGTGCCGGAGATCGTGCCCCGCTGGGAGTTTGGGGAAGCCCTCTTTCTGGGCTGGTCCGCCGGGCTTTCCCTCCTCCTGGGAGGGTGCCTGCTCAACTGTGCGGCCTGCGCTCCCCAGGCGGCTCCGGCTTCGGGCACCTATGCGGTGGTGGAGACGCAGACTCAGTGTCTGTGCCTGGAAAATGGAACGGCAGACCCCAGAGTGTAAGCCTTTGGCAAGAGCAGAGGGACGCGTCTTTCCACATCAACTGACAGGACCGGACGGGACGGGGCGCGTGGGGTCTACGCTTGAAAGGGGCCTTTGTCATGTAACTAAATCTGTGCTGCTCCCATTTTCTCGCCAAATAGCTACTTTTCTAAACTAGATCCCCTCTTCCTTCCCAAATCTGGAGAATAAAGAGGCAAGTCTTCCATCTAAAAGAAGATTACATGGGAAGCATTACATAGGGATAAGCAAAAATAATTTCATCGATCTGGTTATTTAAATCAAAATGTGGTGGTGGCTGCCCCTTCTAATCAGAATTAAGCTTTGATGTGTTAAATTTTATATTAGGAACGTTGTTTTTGATTTTTTTGTTGATAGCTGGGAATAATAATAGTTTCTATTTCCTAAGGAAAAAAACCCCCCAATCTGCAATCTTTTAAACATTCTGCATTAGCAATACCCCCTGGTAAGCCTATCCCAGAGTTTTATTTCCACAACAATGACCCTGGTCTTCTTTGAACACACGCAGTTTGTGTAGGAGATGACTAAGGACCCTGTGTGACAGGATTCTAGGCTTATGGGTTTCAGTATATCGAGGTACTCTCAAGATTCAACATACCGGCCAATCCCTCCTGTCTCTTCCTTCCAAAGTTTCAAAAAAAAAATTCGAGAAATATTTTGCTTGAGATCCAGATATTGATGGTTCATCTCCTCAATAAAAACTTTCCTTTGTTTGGTTAAAACTGATAGGCATGGGGATATATACATCAGTAGTGAACCAGAAGGGATGTTTATCCTGACCTTCAAAGTCCTACTGGTTACCTTCTCCATGACACAGAAAGCATATTTAGGGGGAAAAAAAAAAAAAAAAAGGAAGTGTGCACGCACATGTGCACGAATCTGACAGAAAGGCATGTAAGTAAGTAGACCTGATGCTTGGGGTTTGGCGTTCGGTATTGCTTCCTATGTTATGTGGTGTACGTAGCTAACGGGTCTTCAAAAACCAGACTTGATTTAAGATCTAGAGAGATTTCTGATAAGAAGTATTTCTTGAACTTACTTTTAAAAAGCGGTAACATTCACTATTACCATGACACACGTATTGAAATGGGAGAGTGTTAGGTAACAGGTGACAATCTGGACAGGTGCAATTAGTCATATAGAAAGCAGGTGGTGGGAGCTGAGGCCAAACTGTCGGCAAACATTTTGCATCGGGACTTGTTAATTCTTCGACTTGCTAGAAAGCTTGGGAACAACGCGAAAGCCATTTAGATGTTAACAATGAAAGGAGGATCAGTCCTACCCAGTGTTATTTTGGAGACAAACTGCGACTACGGAGTCAGCCCCTGGGACGTGGACAGGGTGCTGGCCACACCTTGGCATTGCTGGCTGGCAGACTTATTTCCCTCTATCCTTTTCTGAAACCTAGTCAACACCTTTTCAAACAATAGCCACTCTGGCAAGAATCCTCTACACACAATGAAGAAATCGTTCCCAGCTCTGAAGTGATAGCTTAAGGTGTCACAGGTCTCTGCGCAGCGCTCGGAAGGCAGGAGTGAGTCTGGCTCAAGCTGCCGGGGGTCTGCCATGGCTTTGGCATTTCGAAGCGTGGCACAACTAGCTGGAATTTCATTCTCTTTGCTGGGATGGGCTTTGTCCTGTCTTACAAACTACCTGCCACAATGGAAAAACCTCAACCTGGACTTGAACGAAATGGAGAACTGGACCATGGGACTCTGGCAAGCCTGCGTCGTCCAAGAGGAAGTGGGGACGCAGTGCAAGGACTTTGAGTCCTTCCTGGCTCTGCCGGCCGAACTCAGGATCTCCAGGATTTTAATGTTCCTGTCCAACGGCCTGGGGCTCCTGGGCCTGCTGGTCTCCGGCTTTGGCCTGGACTGCCTGAGGATCGGAGAGACGCGGCCAGGCCTCAAGAAGGGACTGCGGGTCCTGGGAGGGGCTCTGCTCTGGGCGGCAGGCGTCGCGGCCCTGGCCCCGGTGTCTTGGGTGGCCCACATGACCGTCCAGGAGTTCTGGGACGACACCGTGCCGGAGATCGTGCCCCGCTGGGAGTTTGGGGAAGCCCTCTTTCTGGGCTGGTCCGCCGGGCTTTCCCTCCTCCTGGGAGGGTGCCTGCTCAACTGTGCGGCCTGCGCTCCCCAGGCGGCTCCGGCTTCGGGCACCTATGCGGCGGTAGAGATGTAGTGTCACCGGCCGCACCTGGAGATGAGAAAAGCCCATCTGAAAATCTAAGCCAGAAAGAATCAGTGGCATCCACTCATCGAGAAGCTCACGCCTCTCTGGGTTTGGTAGGATTTCCTGATGCACACCTACCCGTTCACTGTGCTTTTTACTTTCCTAAAATGCATTTGTTTTTTAAACTGTGGCTACTGGCTTCTTAAACTGTAATTTCCTTCTAGGACAATAAACCACTGTTATCTTCTTTCTATTCTGAGACCAAAACCATTCAAGACTTAATAGTAATCACACTCATTACTGTGGATGAGTTTTCTCAATTTTGAAATAGATTCAGTGATCGCACAGGACTGGTAAATAAAACATTCTATTAGTGCTTCCATATCTTTGAAGGGGTCACTCATAGTACAGATCATTTTGGCAACTGGAAATATTACTGCTGATCGTCTGCTGCTTTCACATGTGTAAGATCCCCTATTAGACTGAAATTAAAGTCCCGTTGCATTAGTTATTGAAAATGTATATTAGATTATAGTAAGAAATTGCTGGTTCTTGGAAAGCCCAGGAGGTAAGGGGGGGGCGGGACCCATCATCTCCTTTTTATTCAAACACCTCTGTGCCTCTATGGAGCCTTTCCCCAAAGCCGGCCACGCTCATTCCTGCCCGCAAAGGAGGGCGGGGTCTGGTGTACGGGAAGATCCACGTAAAACCTACCACACAGGCGTGCTTTGCCTCCTGTGTCCTGTGCTCTGCAGGGGACGGCTGGCACCACCCCTGTCCCTGTGGAGCAGCCACGGTGGGGGTGGGGGGAGTGCAGGTCAGGGCCGGGGCGAGCTGGCCAAGAGGCTCCCAGGACCACGGCCTGCCGGCCAGCTGACCAGAGGGCTAGCCAGGGTGGGTGCGGATGGCAGACCTCACCCTGGAAGCCCCTTCTTTTACTCCCACTCTGAATATAGGCCATTTTTATTTCTATCAGCAATCCATATTGCTCAACTGCTTGCTGGCTTGGGAAGTTCCTCGTGACAGATTTTACATTTGCTCGGTACGTGGCTCAAGTAAACTCTGGTTTGCAGCAATCAGGGAAATTAAACAATAAACGACACTGAAATAAAGTATGAGGCAATATGCATCTTTGTTTAAAAAAAGAAAAACACTGAACTTTTTTCCACCCACACACACAGGAAAAGTGCAGAAACCAAAGTTAATCTATGTGATGTATTTGCATACTTTGACAAACGAGACAAATTAAAACAGAAACATATTCAGAATTTAACCTGATTAAATATTTAGTTCAGTCCTGAGCTTTTGATATTTAATACAATATAGATAAAGTAATAGCAAAAAAAAAAAAAAGATTTTAAATTTGATTTGCATGCCACAGAGATTCAGCTAAACTTTGTTCATTTGGCTAGCAATATTTTTTTGTACCTGTAACTTAGATTCCAATATACAAAATTATAATAACATACTGATAATTCAAAATTGAGACCTAAATATTACATTCTTTTTACCCTGTGCAGAATAGATTCTACCTTTAAAAAATAGTATTTATAATATTAAAATTCATATTGTTCATATAGTCTTGTGATCAAGTTATTAAAATGTTTTGTCACTGTGAATCATTTGGGTTAGTACAAATAGGACAGAATTGTGAAAAGCTGCCTGTAAATACATAACACTATTGCTGATTTTTAAAGTGTGGAAAAGGATTATATTAAAATAAGTTCACTTCTCATGTTAGAAAGGAGCACATCTTGTAAAATAAAACCAGAAGCATCTTGGTCACAACTGTTAACTACCAGCCTGAGACAGATTTTATTCTTGTATTCTTGTCTGAAACTTTTTGTGTTACAAAGAGTGAATAGCTAATCTGAGGAAGATTATTTATAAAGGTGTAGATAGTCCAATATAGCCTCTTCTGTGTCAAACATTTAAAATGGCCAGAACCGAACTATATATTAAACAGAACATAAATAAGACCGTAAATAAATAAATGAAGAAAATAAAATCGTACGGTACAACTACACATAATTCTATAAACATTTTCACGGTCACACTACGAAGCTGAAAACGGCTGACCTTCATTTAGCTCTATATTAAATAAACTTCTGTCTTTCACATTTGACCTTGACAAGGGTGAACGGCATTCCTGCCCTGGTTTTCCTTAGTCATCTGATAGAAGGCGCAGTCGCGAGGCTGGTTTTTGTTCAGAGTGGTGTCACATCCAGTTACGGCTTCAGGGACTTTTAGAGAGAAGTGGTGGGACAACTTGGGAAAAAGTAAAGTTCTAGGCTCAGGAATTGCTTACTTCGAATTTGGATTCTGCTAAAATGAACTTTCCAAAATATGTAATAATTACTTACAAGAAACTGAAAACTCTTGCTGAGGATGCTGAGAAATAGAACTTCTTATTTTTTTTAAGGGCTCTGTCCCTTTAAGAGGATTTTGTATTTCTCAAAAAACCCCAAATAAACATGTAGTTTGCTATGTAAGATGGCTGACCAAAAACTGCCTCTTCCAGGAGAACTGACTGATAAGTATGAGTTAAGTCGCATAAATGCTTTTTATTTCAAAAGCCTTTATGCGGGCAGAGCAGGCGAGTTCCGAGTTCCGTGTAGGCAGTGCGTGGGGCCGGTGGGCTGACAGACAGTCTACACGGGGGGACCTGGAGCCATTTTCTCTCTCGACATTAGTTCATTGAGAACTGTTTTCTTACACAACTGCTGTGGCTGAGATTTCCAATCAACAATCTCCCCCCAGGCACACTCTTCTCTTGGCCCTCCTCGCCGCAAATTGCAGACAGGATGCCCTAAAAACGAGAGCTGCAAGATAATTTCTAGCAAATGTTAGAAATCTGTTTAATAAAGTGAAAACAAATTTCTTTTTGGCGACTTTGATTCAGCCAGGACTCCCGGTTTCCCCAGGCGCGCGCTGCTGCGGGTCCCTCCACGTGGCGGGTGGGGACCGGGGGCATCACGGTGGCCCCCGCGTGGCGGGCGGGGGGCCATCCTCACACTCAGGCCACAGCATATGGGCGCAAGCCGGGACCCCGCAACCCCTCGCAGCGCGGACACGAGCCCAGCTGTGTCAGAGGCGGCCGGTGCTCCGAGGGGCCCGCTGGCGGTGTGCAGGCTCCCCGCTCTCTCCCTTCCTCTACCCTGCTCTGGAGGTGGCCAATCACAGGAGCGCTGCTCCTTGCTGTGCTGGGACCCTCACCGCAGTCTGCCTTCTGTAGACTAAAAGAAAAGGACAAAAAGGAAGCTGTTTTAAGGAAACAAGGGCTCCGACAGAGGTGGCGGCCGTGAGCGCAAACGCCTGTTTCTCAGGTGGCGCCGGAAAGGCGTTGACACTGGACTTGAAGTCGGCAGGGCTGGCCTCCTGTACGCAGCACCGCCCGGCCGGGGCTCGGCGGTCTGCTCACCGCACAGCCAAGGAAAAGCAAAAATCACCTTCTGCTCGGCCCGGCTAGTTCTCAACGGCTGGCTCACCGGGACAGGCAAGGGGTGCTGCCTCTGTCCCACTTCTAGAAAATACGGCCCGTGGGCAATACGCAGGCACCGGACGTTCGTGTACCCGATCAGCCCGTTTTGGTTATCTGATTTCTTTTCTCTATTAAACATACAAGAATTACATTCAAGGTACTTTACAAATTAACATGTTGAAAATCTGATGCGAAATAAAAGCTCTTTAAGAGTTGATAGTTATGTAACAAAAAGAACCCCCCCCCCGCCCCCGAAGCAAACAAACGCTCAGTCTTGTGCCCTCCCTAAGAAAGGGCAGGAGACCACAGGATTTCTTCAGGGACGTGTTCACACATCATCGGCCGGCAGGGACGGGATGCTTATCTTCGCCCTGGTGAAGTAGGCGATCTTCTCCCTAGAGTCAGGGGTGAGAAATAAATGGACTTGAATATGATGCTGAAAATACTCTGTGACCCCTGAAAATTGTCCCCAGAGCTCCGCAAGCCTGGACAGGAGACCGTTTCCTTGGGCAGAACGCCATAAAATCAAGATCGACGCCTTCTGCGAGAGGACACGATGAAGGAGGGCGGCAGCTCGGGCTCCCGGCAAATCACCCGCAGACCGAGGCGGTACACGCCTTCCCGGATCTCCAGGGTGGGGCGGTTTGCACACCATCAGTTAGGAGTGCTTCTGAACTAAGTCGAGAACACGGGAGGTCCAGGGTCCCAGGGAACTTCTCAGGGCCCCGTAGAGAAGTACATGGTATCGGGAAAATCCTTCAAAATCCATACTGTCCTACTAAGGTAAGGGTGGAGTGACACCATGACTCCAAACGAAGGGAAACAAAGGAACGTGACTGGAGTAAAGGCAGATCGGTCCCGCACCCCAAAACAGCGATCAGGAGAAACAGCTCGAAAGGCAGAAGCAGAGGAACATAGGGCACAATGGTTTTCAGAGGTTAGGAGAGTATTAAAAAAAATAAATAAATAAGGTTTTGGGGTTGTATAGTTACCAAAGACAGGAGCAATCTATCTACTTTGGTACAAAATCTTCACACCATACACTGTATCCCATCAACTGAAGATGTGTTATGTTACACCCGGCACGACGGGGGCCACGAAGGAGAATAAAGCAAAAGAAAAAAAAAAAAAGAAAAGAAAAGAAAAAAGAAAAAAGAAAAAAAAGAAAGAATAAAGCACCAGCCTTCCTTTGGGAAAATAAGAGTCTATCTAGATGGTGGAGGAAGAGCGAGGTGAAGAAGTAAGCGCTGAGGTGGAAAAGCTCAAAAGACTAAGGAAAGGGAAGGGAAGAAAGGGAAATGACAATGGTGGGAACTGCAGTGAGTTATCTTTGTGGTATTGCATCCTTTACATTTGTTTGATTCCAGAAGAGATAAAAGCAAGACTTAAAAAAAGGCAAGTGATGGGCCTCCGGCTGACTCAGTCGGTAGAGCGAGCGACTCTTGATCTTGGGGTTGTTGAGTCTGAGCCTCATGCTGGGTGTAGGGACTTAAAAAAATAAACCCTTAGGGCACCAGGGTGGCTCAGTCCACTAAGTATTGGCTCTTTTTTTAATTAAAACAATTTTTTGGCGATCTTTATTTTTGAGAGAGACAGAGTGTGAGTGGGGGAGGAACAGTGAGAGAGGGGGACACAGAATCCGAAGCAGGCTCCCGGCTCTGAGCTGTCAGTATGTGGGGCTCGAACCCACAAACCGTGAGATCGTAACCCGAGCTGAAGTCGGTGGCTCAAGCGACTAAGCCACCCACATCTGGTTCTTGATGTGGGATTCTGTTCTTGATCCCAGCTCTGCTTGGGATTCTCTCTCTCTTTTTCTGCCCTCTCCTACTTGCTCTCTCTTTCTCTCAAAATAAACCTAAAAAAAAAAAAACTCTTAAAGAATAATAAAAAGTAAAAATAAAAAAGGCAAGTAAGCCTGATCATGACATCACTGAAAGCCTTACGGAGGAACCAAAAACTGAACACTCCCTGCTAATGGATTCCTTTGGCGCAGGCGGGGTGTGCACCAGGATCAGATGTTTCACACAAGACTCCTATTTCGAACTTTCCGTGAGAAACGAGACAGTGGGGGAACACGGGGCGATTCTGGGTGAAACCAGGAGTGTCCCCCTCATGCTTCGGGCAGAGAACCCGGCTCTGCCACCCAGGCCCGTGCCCAGGCTCCCAGGGTGTATCCCCCCAACCCGGCCCAGCCCAACCTACGGGGGCCGGGGTGGGGGGGCATCCATGACACCACGGCGTTGCGGGGGGTCGTCTGTTGAACGAGCGAACAACAAAAGACCCGAAGATACATGCTTTTTGTATTTTGCATCAAGATTTCTCAGTGAGATGTGGCGACTGCTTCTAAGAGCCGGGGACACCCTGAGTTCTTGGGGAACCAGGCTTTGCTTGGGTCAGGGCCCGCTGTCAGGGGTCAGGGCCATTGTCAGGGATCAGGGCCGCTGTCAGGGGGGCAGGATCACCGCCGGAAGGGGGGTGTTGTAACCTCAGGGAGGAGCAAACGGAAGCACAGACGTCCCAACGGGTCTCACGGGCTACTGTGAGCTCCCAGCGACTCCGAGGTGACTCCCACAGAACTCAGACCGCGTGGAGGACGACCCGGGAGCACTGGCGGGGTGGGCTGCCTACCTGAAGGACTGCACCTGGCGCGGCACCTTCCGGCTCTGCTCTCGCAGCCGGCACACGTCCTTGGACACTTGCCGCATCAGTTTCTCCGCGTTCAAGTCCTGCTTCTGCTCCTCTTCGGACTGTTCGGCCTGGCAGAGGGAATAAGAACAAAACCCCACGGAATGCTCATTAGAGAGCCCCGAAGCCGGGCCGCGAGGCTTGCTTTTGTTCCTCTGTCAAAGGTCGGTTGACCATATCCATACGCACGTGGGCCTATTTCTGGGCTATTATGCTCCACTCACCTCTCTGTCTATTCTTTCATCAATACCACACTGTCTTGATTACATTAGCTTTACAGGAAGTCTTGAAGTTGGGTAATGTCAGTCCTGCAGCTCTGCCTCCTTCAATATTGTGTTACCTATCATGTGTCTTTTGTCTCTCCACATAAACTTCAGAATCATTTTGTCTATATGCACAAAATAATTTGCTGGAATATTAATTGGAATTGCATTAAATCTAGAGGTCAATTTGGGAAGAACATCTTGACCTTATTAAATCTTTCTATTCATGAACATGGACTCTCTTCTCCATTTAGTTAATTCTTTGATTTCATTCATCAGACTTTGTATTTTTCCTCACTTAGAACGTATACATATTTTGTTAGATATATAACTAAGCATTTCATTTTAGTGGGTGCTAATCGTATTGTGTTTTTAATTTCAAATCCTACTTGTTCATCACTAGCATACAGAAAAGCAACTGACTTTATTAACCTTGTATCCTGCAAACTTGCTATTGAATGATTTCTTGTTTTCAATTTATTTGAGAATTACCTAATTTTTATTATTTTTCTTCTGAATGCTTTGGATTCAATTTACTCTTCTTTTCCCAGTTTTCTAAGGCAGAAACTTAGATTATGGACTTTAAGTCTTTCTTCTTTTCCAGTATATACAATCACTGCTATACATTTTCCTCTAAGGACTGCTTTTGCTGCACCATGCAAATTTTGGTAAGTTAGCCTTTCATGTTCATTTAGTTCAAAATATGTTTTCTCTTGAGATTTCTTTTTCTGACACACGTCTTATTTAAAAATGTGTTGTAGGTCTCCAAGTACTTTGGGATTTTCCAGCTATTTTTCTGTTATTGATTTCTAGTTTTATTCCACTGTGGTCTGAGAGTAGGCACTGTATGACCTGTATTCTTTTACATTTTGAAGTTAAATTTTATGGTACAAAACGTGGTCTATCTTGATGAATGTTCCATGTGAGCTTGAGGAGAATGTCAGTTCTGCTGTTAGATGAAGTAGTCTATGGATGTCAATTATGTCTAGCTAATTAATAGTGTGGTTGAGTTCAACTATGTCTTTACTGACTTTCTGCTTCTGGGAGCTGTCCATTTCTGAAAAATGGGTACTGAAGTCTCCAACTGTAAAAGTAGATACACCTTGTTTTCCTTGCAGCCCTATCAGTTTTTGCCTCACATATTGTGATGCTGTGTTAAGTACACACACATGAAAAATGTGTTATGTCGTCTTGGAAGACTGGCTGTTTTAATCATTACATAATGCCCTCCTTTATACTAGACAACTTTTTATGCTCAGATGTCTGTCTCAGATTAATATGGCTACTCCAAGTTTGTTTTGATTAGTGTTAGCATGGTATATTTTTCTCTATCCCTTTACTTTTAGCCTATATGTGTTTTATACATAAAATAGGTTTTTTGTCAAAAACATATAGTTGGGTCTTATCTTTTGTTCAACTCTGACAATTTCTTTGAATTGGCAAATTCAGATCATCAGTGTTTAAAGTGACTGTTGATCTGGCTGGATTGGGATCTGCCATATTTGTTGTTGTTTTCTAGTCACTGCCCTTGCTCTTTGTTTTGGCCTTCTATTATTTTTTCTGCCTTTTGTGGTTTTAATTGGGCCACTCACATTATTCCATTTTCTCTCCTTTCTTAGCATGTGAATTATACTTTTTAAAATTTTTAACGAGTTGTCTCATATTTTGTAATATGCAAAACACCATAGTATGGGGCACTATGTATTAAGTACATAGTATGGGGTACAAGTACGTTATAATAATAAAATATTACTAATCTCTCCCTCTTGTTCCTTGTATCATTGCTGTCATTTCACTTGTACATAAGCATATATATGTGAAATACATTGTTGCTACTGTTATTTGGAACAAACTTAGATCAATTAAGAATTAAGAAAAATAAAAGTTTTAACTTTACAGTCACTAATTCCTTCCTGAGTGCTCTTCCTTTCTTTATACAGATCCAAGTTTCTGGCCTAGATTATTTTCCTAAGCCCTGAAGAGCTTCTTATAACATTTCTTGCTAGGCAGGTCTACTGACAACACATTTTCTCAATTTTCATTTGTCTGAGAAAGTATTTCTTTTTCAGACCTGAAGAAAATTTTGTTGGGTATAGAATTCTCAGTTGGTGGTGTCCCGTTCCAACCCCCCACCCCCACCCCCGCGAACACCTTAAATATTTCACCCCACTCTACTTGTTTGCATGGGTTCTAAGAAGTCATCTGTAATTCTTATCTTCGCTGTTATGTAAGTTAAGTGTTCTTTCACTTTGGCCTCTTTCAAGATTTTTCCTATATCTGTGATTTTTGGAGGTCTGAACTCTAGGTGTAGAGTTTTGTGCATCTATCCAGACTAATGTTCTCTGAGCTTCCTTGGCCTGTAGTTTGGTGTCTGATGTGAATTTGGAGAAATTCTCAACCATTATTGCTTTAAATGTTTCTTCCGTTTTTCTCTGTCTTCTTTCTTCTGGTATTCCCATTATGTGTGAGTTCCACCTTTTGTAATTGTCCCACAGGTCTGAGATACTCTGTTCCTTTTATTCTCCCCAGTCTTTTTTCTCTTTGATTTTCAGTTTTGATCCTCAAGCTCAGAGAGTCTTTCCTCTGCCATATCTAGTTGGTAACAAGCCCATCACAGGTATTCTTCATTTCTTTTATAGTGTTTTTGATCTGTAGCATTTCTTTTTGGTTCTTTCTTAGAATTCCCTTTTTCTTTCAGCTTTTATTGACCATCTGTTCTTATAACGTTGTCGACTTTTCCCATTAGAGCCCTTAGAGCATTGATTACAGCTGTTTTAAATTCCTGATAATTCCAACATCCCTGCCACATCGGAGTCTGGTTCCAGTTCTTTTTCTATCTCTTCAAACTGGGTTTTGCCTTTCAGTATGCCTGGTGATTTTGTTGACACCCACAGTAAGCCTAGCGACTAGAACTCTAGTCATTTAGTTCATTTAGTAATGAAGTGGAGGTGTGCAGGACAGGGAGTGTTCTATAGTCCTGTAGTTAGGTTTCAGTCTCTTGGTGGGCCTGGGCCCGCACATGAGAACTTCACAAGTGCTTCTCAGCCCTCCAACTGCCCCTTAGGTGAGACAGGGTGGCTGGAGTGGGTGTTTTCCTTGCCCCAAGTTGGTTGGGTGTTCATAAAATCCTTGTAGGTTAGACTCTAGTAAGACCGTTGCTCCTGAGGGTTGGTCTTGTTAACAGAATGTGTTGGCATATTTCAAAATGACCACTTTCTCCCTCACCCTGCTGGAAGCACAGGAGTTTTTTTTCCCCGATACTCACTAAGAGGACCAGAGCTCCTAGGTGGAAAATTCACAAACTGCGGGGTCTCCCCATGGCTGGTCCCCTAGAGTTGTTAGCTCTTAGACTTGTCGATTCGGAGCCTCCAGCAGTTCATCAGTTCCAGTGCGGGTTCTCATACCCCGGTGCTACTTCCCTCGGAGTTTCTGCTCTGGTGAGTAGCCACGGTCTGTTGCCTGTCTCTCTAATTTGGGAGGTAATGTTTTGTCCCATGACCTCATTTTCTTGACAGATCGAAGAATTGTTGATTCTTTCCTGGTTGTTGGGGCCGAGTAGCGGCTTCTAAGCTCCTAACAGGCCAGACCAGGAAATGGAAGTCTGTAACTTTTTAACAGTTTCGTAACACCGTATTTAATAGCTAGAGCATAATTATTGAACAAGCCTTCTAGAATCCCATGTTTAAACTGTTTCCATGCTGCAATGTTCATTCAACTGGGATTTAGCATTTAAACATCTAGAAAAATGAACACTTGGTTAAATTAGATGTAGCGAGGATAAAAGCAGGCATGTCCCGTGCATTCTGAAAACTACCCACAGCAAGAATACATCTGCATGTGTGTGCGTGCGTGTGTGTGTATATTGTCCACTATCAAGGAAAAAATAATCATAATTTTGTTTCATTTATACTTAGAGCTTACAAAATCTAAAGGGACAGTTCCTTAGCTACATAAATAAAGTGTGAGGTAGGAAATGGGACTTAGGTGTAAATGTGCTACTTGCTACTCTTCCTACCTTCATATTGGGAAACTATGTGACTTATTGATTATGTGGATGCCGACTTCCACAAAGGCACTGACAACTCCTACTTGCAGGCAAAGCCAAGAGGCTGCCTGGTTGTTAATTTTGATTTTGGCTCATGGTTTGCCTTGGGGTCTGAGCTGTCTATATGGGTCCATAAGCCTCCGAAGGCCAGAGACTGCATCTGTTTAACATAATTTATAGACGTTCAAGTGCACAATAAAGATTTTTAAGGTGGTGGTTTGTTTCTGAAAACTGCCTATACTGTCAGAAGCTGCTTGTGTTGTGTCAGACAACGAACTATATTAAGTTAAGAGGCTGGAGACTTAACGCTACCTACATATTCAATGAGGGGAAATGTCATATCTAGAAGCAGTCTTGTCAATGCATATGAACAAACAGTAGTTATCCGCACCTGACAGAAACAAAAATCTAATTTAAGTTACTGTGCATTTTGAGGGAGAGTGAGACCGTACAAGTACGTGAGTTAGTATTTGGCATTTGTTTGGAAAGCTGGTGTAGGAAAAGGAAGTGTAAATGAAATGTTGGGTGGTGAAACAGGGTAACTTTCCTCTTCACTTCCCCTCCTACTTCTCCCCAGGGAATCAGGGAAACCGAGGGGCCAAGCACGCTCTGGGAACCTGCCTCGTGCCGGACGGAACCCACACCAGCTGCTCTTCTGCCCACAGAAACTGTCACTTGTCTCGTTGACAAGATGGGCTGTGACTTGGTTCATTCAAGGCCGTGTCTCAGGCTCTTTCTGGCACATTTTACTTCACATTGGCCA